TACATGACCTTTAGTGTCTGGGTCAAAGACACTCCCAATAAAGCTATAGACTTCTGCAAAGTCGGGTATGCCTGTAATGGAAGTACCAATATACACTTTATACAGTTCCATTTGATCCAGAGTAAACATTTAAAACCAAAAGAAGTACGGCCGCTATCGACCTAGAAAAACAAAAATTCCCTCCATGATGAAGATGCAAAAGAGAGAAATGGAAAGAAAGGGGTAAAATATATCAGGAAGAAAAAAAATCATTAGCACAAAAGCTCCATAACACCACCCCATCCTTTTCCTTTTCCAATAGACTACAGGGACATTCAAAATCATTGGTTTCTCACATAATCAAAGCAATATAAAAGTGGATACAATGATTTCATGATCTGAAAATGATGAAAGCTTCTCAAATACAATTTCCTTCATCATTTACCTCAACAAAAAATAAAGAGAGAAAGCTTCTCAAATGCAAAAATTGGATGCAAGAGGTAGAACCAATATTTATACAGATTCAAAACAAAGTGGAAATTCTACTGTTATAATGAATTTGACATTTCATTGGCGTTCAAAACTTAACATAGAGAAAATAAACATCAATGTGGAAATTATACTGATATAATGAACTTTGTCCTGACGTTGGCATTCAGAACTTTATATGAACAAGAGAAGACACGTTAACTTATATTTCTAGCTACCCGTAAACTACCTAATCTCTTATAAGATAAATTACATAACTTTGCTTCTTAGTGTCTAAAGTTATCCTTTAATTTAGAAAGTTCAATGATGTTTTTCTCAATATCAAGAGCGAACTGACAAAAGAAAATAGAAATATCATTTTAACCAAGAAAGTTTGTCCCCCTTTGGCAAGCTTTGTGCAAGCAGCCTTCAAGGAACTTTTCCTTTTCTTGAAAATTATTCCTTCTATTATTTCACTCTTAAGTATGAAATTTGCATGATGAAAAGTTTATTTCAAAAGTTGGATGAGCCAAGGACCAAAATTTTGGAATTGCACTAAGCGGTGGGATCAAAGTTGCAAGTTACCTTTGGAACTAGGATTTGGTATGCGGATAGAAAATAGTTTTTTTCTGGGTTGAGTGGGCGACAAATCAAAGATCAAGTAAAGTTTCGGGCATGAGCAAGAAAATAAAATATGACAAGATTAGCTGTGCATACTACTGAAATGATATGTGGTACCAAATAAAAGCTAAGAAAGAAAAAGCTATATAATGCAGATGTTGAATTGAGAAACCTAACATGACGGAAGAGCCGATATGTATGGAAACCATACAGTGTTCTCCTCAATCAATGAGTTGTAGGGCTAAGTTCAAAATTATATGCTAGAGAACCTTACCATGAGGAACAGAACCTAGTTTGCTCTGCTCTGGTTGTTCAGAACTCGGCGCTGTTCTGCTGAAACTTCTAATGCCACTGATGCTGCTGTTACTAATCAATGTAGCTCCCTTTGATCCAATATCAGCTGAATCAGTAATGTGTACATTGAAATAAGTGCAGAAAAATCCCTCAACCAAGAAGAAGATTTATAAAATATGCAGACGCAAATACCAAGTTTATAGTCAGGTACACACCCTGAATTCTTTGAAGATGGTATTCATCATGTGATGGCATAGCTCCACCAGATGGAGAATTTAAGAGTACAGAAGTGTCATCCCATGATGGATATCCAGGTGGAAGGGAATTCATTGAAGAAGGGTAACCCATAGAGGCTTGCAATGGTACTAAAACTACTCAAAGTAGTTCCAGAAGGAAAAAAAACAAGAGACTATATGAGATACAGATATACAAAATGAGCCATAGGACAACTTTGTAAATGCAAACCAACCATTTTTTGGTGCCTTCTGGGGATAAGGATGAGCTGCTTTACGCTTGGGCCG